CTCAAATGACTTCATCAGCCCGTAGCGTTGGCTGCACTCCGAACTAAGGTAAAGCAAAGCATATGTTCAGATCTGAGGGCTTTACAAGCCAAACAAACAAAAACAAAAAAACTCACCTATCACGTCTTAAAAAAAAAGAAAAAACGTTGCGGGTTTATTTCGATTACCTGGAGATTTTTTGACGTGCAACCAAAATCTCAGATTGGCCTCCGTCAGGTTGCGGGCACCTCGGTCGATATTTAATCCCGACAAATATGTATTCATGGGCCAGCGCGTTGGCTCAGAGACACTGAGACGTCTTAATGTTTTGTGTTTTGTTTTAATATAATTGCCACTTAAAAGCCACCGAAGTGGTTTAAAAAAAAATATTTAGTCGAATCATTCTGACAAGCATAGTTTGATTACGGAAATGCTTTTTTCGAGAAATAACAACATTCAAATGTTTTCGCATACGTGGCGGAATCTGAAATGGCGGAATCCCCTTCTAGGCGCACATTTCATTTGGATCGCGTCGGGCATGTGCACGGTGGAGGAAATACATTTAGGTGGTGACTCTGGCCGCTCTTCCCGCGGGGAGCGAGCGACCAGATCGTGTTCGCAGCTAGCCTCGAACAAGGAGTATACTCTGTTTCACCTCATGATGTACCGCAGGAAAGGCTACAAGCGCGAGCTCCATGCTCTGGGGCACATCCCGGCGGCACAAGCTCTCGTGACTTAAGAGCAGCTACCAATGCTATGAGCTCGCGCTTCTAACCTTCGCTGCGGTACAACATAAGGTGAAAAGAAGTTTAGTTGTTCCGCGCCGCCGCGGAGGGCGCTGAGGTGTGAGCACCGTTAAAGCATGTTGTTCGACAAAACATGCGAGCACGACCCAGTTGTTTACTCTAAATTACTCAAAATTAGTGAAGGCCCAGGGGGGAAGTTTTATATCTATACGAGTATTTTTGTCACGTTGAGTCATCATGCATCAGAATGTTCTCGTTTAAAAAAAAAAAAAAAGAAGAAACCGCACGGGGGAAAAAGCAATCATTGCCAGTGCGCCAACATAAATCCATCATTTCACCACACAGTACACAGGGACCGAGCAAAGAATGCATAATTACCTTCACAAGCCCTATAAACAAGCCTTCACAAGCCCTCTATACGGGGGCGCCATCTATCCCCGTGCGAGTGAAGCGCGCTCGGTGCGCCCAACATAATGTGGCCGCCGCGCGAGACAGAGAGTCATCACCTGAATGTGTTTCTTCCACCATGGTAGACCTGTGCGCCGCCGCGCCGCGCCGCCGCCGCCGCCTGTTTTGCTCTCGCCGCCCTGCGCCGCAGCCGGAATCCCCAGAGCCAGCACGCCGCCGCCGCCGCCGGGCAAAAAATCCGGCGCGCCGCCGGCGCCGCCAATTTTTTTTTTTTTTTTTTTTTTTAAGGGGGGGGGGGGGGGTGTGGAGGGGTGCGTAGCATTGGTGTTTCTTTTTTTCTGCTTCTGTATCAGTCTCACCTACTATATTATGCATAAAAAAATGAATAAATACACCGGTGTCTGTATGTTTTTTCCCTTTCAATTTCACTCCTTTACACGGAACGATAAAAGAAATGGACAAAACAACAAGTCTCGAACACAGTTGCTAGTTTATTTAAACAACGAACGCTCTTATATATACCTCAAGACCCTCACCACCAATAAAGAAACACCTCCTGTTAATTAGGTCACCGAGAACCGGACACTCACAGAACCCATATGGTTCATGATTCAGACAGATGCAAATGATTCACACCAACCAGCTACCCTGATGACCTCGCTTGCGAGCTGACCAGCCACATGCGATAACAGGCAACTCCAGCTCCAGCAGAGCCCTTACAATTTTCGGAAAACCCACAAAACAAGACCTTAGAGACACAAAATACGCTTCATATCAGCGTCCAATGCCAAAGACAATGTGCTTATACAATTACCAGAGGTCGAAATACGCGTGGTCTCCCTTAGAACTCTCCTACCATTGCTGATTGTTGGGCGGGTTGGTATTGTACGTGAGAAAACATTATTGCGCTTTAAGACATAGACAGAGGAAGAACACCACAGAGCGCTTACTTTCAACTGATTTGACCCAAGAGCCTCAGTGTAGATACACACTGCGTCACCGCACCACATATCAACCAAACCGTTTCCCCGCCGTAGGCCGCAAATACACTGTCTCTTTTTATGCCAAGTCAATTGAAGCCACGCATGACTGCGTGTGCAAACCATTATTTGCTTCTTCCACTGTTCTCGCTAGGCACTTAGGCGGACGCCATCAATAGTTTCGGCACGTGTTGTAACGTGTTTTTTGTGGCACCCCTGAGGACCACCCGAAAAGGAGGCTAACCTTTCTAATTTGTGCTGAGCTTTGGAAACTAAATTTACACCGAACCTCTTTGCCACTGATATAAAGTTAAGAGAGCTAGATTCCAAGGTATAGTAAGGCACACACAAACCATTCTTTACAACCGGTTTTCCACACGAGCCGGATTAAACGTTCCTAACACCTTGAGCACAACTCTAACAATCACATATCCTCGTGTAATTGTTAGAATAGTTGTGAACCAAAATGGAGCTTGGCAGAAGGTGTCGTCAATTTTTATCCAGAAATGCCTGATAGGAGCGGAGCAACAGTTCATTGTCACTCAAAAACTCCGAGCAATTGATTGAAATATTGAATCCGCATCATGGGAGAAGGTGTGATGGGACACCTGTAGACATCAATGCCATTACTCTATGGATAAGTCGGAGCTGTTAATAAGGGTCAGGAGGTGGTGTGATGATAATCTAGTGAAGTTGCAGTCTGCCGCTGGGATTGATATAGATAGTTTTATGAGCATTATAGAGTTGTATTTAGAGTCCACTGCCGTAGACTTTGATGGTTCTCTTTTTATTCACAAAGAAGGAGTGTGCATCGGGTCGTGAATTGCTCCAATGTTGTCCGAGATTTTTTAAAACGAGATTGATGTTCACGTTGACACGGTTGTGCGGTCCTTGTAGACTGGACCGCACAACCCTGTGCTTGCAGCAGTCGATTTGAGTGCTTATAGGCCTCCTGTTTCACACGGAAAAGGAACTGTGCTGGAGGTGGGGCAAGGAATCAGCAAAGTCTCTCTTGGCAGCGTCTATGTTAGAAGTTGACAGCTGTCACTTAAAAAGAGTTAAGAGTGGTGTAATTGCGTCTGCGAAAGATAATGCCTGTAAAAAATCTCGTATGCTTTAGATTGGAGAGCCAGTTGAGTTGCAAAAGATGCGTCGTTTGGAAGCGGGCCACCACCACGATGTAATTGTTAGAGTCGTGCTCAAGGTGCTGAAAGTTTAATCCGGCTCCTGTGGAAAAAACGGTTGTGAAGAATGCTGTGTGTGTGCCTTACAACCATGGAATCTCTCATAACTTTATATCAGCGGCAAAGAGGTTCGGTGTAAATTTATTTTTCAAAGCTTATCACAAATTAGAAAGGTTAACCCCCTTTCTGGTGGTCCTCAGGGCTGCCAGAAATAAACATAAAAACCCAGATGTAACTTTTCAGGCAGGATCGAGTGGTGTAGGGGAGCCTCTCATTTCGTCGAAACTCGTTTCGTGGAATTACGTATCGTGGACAACTTTTCATGGGCAGACGTTTCCCGGAAACACGTTTTGTCGACACCATCGTTTCATCGACACTCGTTAAGCGAATTGCACGCTGTAGGGACATCTCGTCACGCGTGTATCATATTCATATTATAGTAAGGGTTGTGATGGAGTTGCCTGTTATCGCATGTGTCTGGTCACTCATCAAGCGGGGTCGTCAGGGTGGCTGGTTGATGTGACCATGAATCATTTGTATGTGTCTGAGTGTCCGGCTTTCAGTGACCTACACTCAAAAAAAAAGGTGTCCAATTGAATGCACCCCAAAACTTCAGTTCGACGTACAGCGCACTGACGTCGATTTGGGTACTAACTTTCACGAGAGGCTCGATAGCCGTGGCGTACAACTTATTAAAATAGCTAATGTACGTGTTACTGACTACAAAAAAAAAAAGAAACCTCGGGTTTTTTTTGGCTTTACTGCAAAACCTCAGTGTTTTTATTGTGTGGTCTTTGATACGTACTTTAGTTATTCAATGCGGAGGGCAAGTTCGTCTGCTTCTTGCGCAGGGGGTAGCGGTGACGTCAGAACGCCGAGCCCAGACTGGCTCATCGCGACCCCCTATCTGAGCGTTGTCTGCTCCTTTGCAACGTCGTCTGCTCGCAACGTCGTCTGCGTCTGTCTTACCTTTCCTGCGACTTTCGGAAGTGCAGAGGCCAGATTCACGAAACGATCTTACGCCGAAAATGTGCGTAAGACAAAGCTTAAGAAAAAATTCGTATTCACGAAACGAAATTTTCGTAAGTTTCGCGCAGGTTACGACGAAATCCTACGACAGCCCCGAAGCTGTCTTACGCACTTCTTACGATCAAATCAGCATGGCCGACAGCGTCGCAGTCGCGAGGACCCACGGACGTTTATTTTTTACGTGCGCTTCTCACGCGTTCCGACTTCAAGCAGCAAGAAAAAAGTAAGAAGTACTTGAAACAGACCACGACGAACAAGAACGCTGGATCCACAAACACCCGGGAAAAGCTCCAACGGCCACGATACCGACGGTACCACCGATACCGACGAAGCGAGCTCAGCAGTTAGGCCTAGCAGGCACTCCGCGACTCGGCGACCGTCTGCCCACGACCGGCTGGCGTGCTGAATGGAATATGCCCGCGCGACCCTTGTGAACCCTTCCCGTATTATATTTTGATCGCTGACCTCAATTTTATATTAAGAGCTAGGTCAATTTCTTCCTCTTGTTAGCTCCTCGTTTCCTGAGGCAACGGTGACTCTCGCCGGTGAAAAGCGGTGAATCTCCGACAGAGAAGGAGGAAACTTTATTATTTTTCCGGGATCAGGTATTGGGGGTGGCGGAGGCCCAGAGGGCCGCCGCGATCGCCAGGGCCCGGGAGGTGGTCAGGACTTGGGCTGACTCCTCCGGGTCGCGCAACATCTGCTCCCAGAGGTGAGGGGAGGGAAGAGGGGGGTATGGGTCTGCGGGGCATTCGCAAAGGGAATGGTAATGAGTGTCGAATGCCCCGCAGGCAGGACAGGTGGGGCTGGTAAAGAGGTGTGGGTGAGTGTGTATTAGTTGTGTTCGGTGGGGGAAAGTGTGTGTTTGTAAGAGGCGCAGCATGTGTGCTCCCTCTTGGGAGAGGTGGGGGTGCGGAGGTGGGTATTGGCGGCGGAGGAGGCGGTAGTGTAGGGTAATATCCCTGTACTGCAGGAGGGAGGTAGGCTTGCCTGCAGGGACATCGCGTGTAGGCGCAGCTGAAATGGCGGCTCGGTCAATAAGTTCGCGAGCACGATCGTGCACCATCTCATTAGCGCCTACGCCTGTGTGGGCTGGTGTCCACAGCAGGGTCACGGTGTCGGATGGAGGGTTGTTGGTGAGAATTTGGAAGGCCATGGGGGAGATATTGCCGCGAATAAAATTGCGGATGGCCTGCTGAGAATCAGATAGGACGAATTGGGGGGTGGGGCTCTGGGCGAGCGCAAGGGCAATGGCCGCTTCCTCCGCCGTGGTTGTGTTTGTAGTGAGGATGGTGGCCGCCGTGACGTTTGGTGGTGGATGTTGGCCGAGAACAGCTACACAGTGTGCAGGTTCGTGAGGGTAGGGTGTGGCATCAGTGTATAGTGTGCATGGTGATGGTGGGTATAGTTTCGCGTGGATGTTGGCTCGTGCTAGTCGCCGGGCTTTATGGAAAGTTGGGTGCATGTGGCGAGGGATTGGGTGGACTCGAATGCGGTTACGTATGTGCGGTGGAATGGGGAGTGGGGGGATTGGGATGGTGGGGGGGAGTATGTTTATAGTGTTAAGAATGGAGTGCCCTGTGGGTGAGGATGCGAGGCGGGTGAGTTGGGACATGTGGTGGGCGTCTAGGTGTTCGCGTATTGTGTTGTGTATGCCGAGGTCGAGCAGGCGGTGCGTTGGGGTGTGAGGGGGGAGTAGGAGAGCATGTCTATATGTCTTCCTGAGGAGCGCATCAAGGGAGTCAAGTTGAGTGGGTGTAAGGTTAAGGTAGGGTAGCTGATATAGGATACGGTTGAGTAGAAAACTGTGGACGAGTCGGAGGCGGTCCTGTTCCTTGATGCCGTGGTGTTTAGTGGCGATCCTTCTAATGAGGTGTGAGGTTTGGGTAACATATTTCTTTACGTATTGGAGGGTGGGTGCGGGTGATCTGTTGTGTGTGAGGGTGAGGCCTAAAAGTCGAACTTGTTGTGTGTGTGGTATTGGGTCAGAGTGTATAAAAAGTTGGATGGGTTTTTTTTGGAGGGGTTTGTGACGAGGCGGCGTAAAGGTAAGGAGAGCGGATTTGTGTGGGGAGCATTGGAGCTCCAAAGGTTCGATGTGATGTAGGACTTGGTTGAGGCCATGTTGAAGTGTTGCTTCAATGTGTTGGTCGGAGCCAGAGTGGACCCAAAGGGCAATGTCGTCTGCGTACAGTGTGCTGCGTAGTGTGGGGACAGTGAGGAGAGTACGGGCAAGTGGGATTAGGGTGAGGTTAAAGAGCATGGGCGAGAGGACCGCTCCTTGTGGCGTTCCGCGGTCTGGCATGTGGAAAGAATCAGACTGGACATGGCCCAAACGGATGGTAGCGGTACGTTTTGCGAGAAAGTTTTAGATATAGTGGTAGAAGTGTAGGCCTAGGTTTTGGGATGAGATTGCCTGAAGGATGCTATGGTGTGAGATATTGTCAAAGGCTTTTTGGAGGTCTAATGAGAGTATAGAGGTGTGATCTCGTTGCGGGGGGTGTTGGTGGAAATCATGATGATACTGTATAAGGGCGTCTTGCGTGGATAAGTTGGGTCGAAAGCCGATCATATTAGGTGGGTAGGTTTGTGTGTATTCAAGGTGCGCATTGACGCGATTCTGCAGGACGTGTTCGAGAAGTTTGCCGAGACAGGAGGTGAGTGAGATGGGGCGAAGGTTGTGTATGGAGGGTGTTTTTCCAGGTTTGGAGATAAGGGTGATGTCAGAGTGTTTCCAGGTGGAGGGAAGGGTGTGGTTAAGCCAATGTTGGTTGAAGAGCTGTACAAGGTGTTCTAGGACCTCCTCATTGAGGTGACGTAAGAGGGTGTTTGTGATGTTGTCATGTCCTGGTGTGGTGTTGCGTTTGAGGGCTTGCACCGTCGCTTGTAGTTCTGCAAAGGTGATGGGGGCGTCGAGCTCTGGGTTGGGATTGCCAGTGTATTGTGGAGGACCAACAGGGTGTGATGATGGAGGTGGAATGTATATGGAGCGGGGGGTGTCGCATAGGGCGGTGGGTGAGAGCTGAGTTTCCGCTATAATTTGTGTGGTTTGGTGGCGAGATTGCGTCTTAGTAGTGCGCGGGTCGAGTAGGGCACGGAGGATGTGCCAAACCTTCTTAGTGGAGAGCTGGCCTCGCATTTCGTCGCAAATATTGTTCCAGTTGTTCCTGGCTAATGTGAGTGCGTGCGTCTCGATCTTAGTGCGGAGAGTTTGTAGTTTGAGGCGAAGGTTGCGTCGGTGTTTATGTTTCCGCCAGCGCTGCTCGAGGCTGGTGTAGGCCTCCCAGAGGTTACGGAGGTGGGTATCTACATATTCCGCTGGGGGAGGAGGATCGATAGTTTTGGTTGCAATCTGTTTAGCTGAGAGAAGGTGGGTCGTCCATTGTTCTAGGTCGGAATCACCGGTGGTGGTGGGTGGGAGTGGGCATTCGGTACGGAATAGATCCCAATCTGTGTGTGTTGGTGGTGGAAGTGGGGGGCTTGTGGAGATGCCTTTGAGGGTAAGACACGTGCTGATGATGTAGTGATCGCTGCCAAGTGTGTGTGGTGTTGTGGATGTGTGAAGGGTGAGTCGTCCGGTGCTAAAGGTGAGGTCGGGAGTGGTATCGCGCTGGGCACTGTTGCCAATGCGTGTGGGGGAGGAAGGGTCGGTGTGAAGGGTGAGGTTCAGGGAATGGGTGAGTTCAGAGAGTAGGCGGCCTTTGCGTGTGGTATAAGAGTAGCCCCACTCTATGTTAGGGGCGTTGAAGTCACCTACAATTAGGAGAGGGTCACGTTTAGTGAAAGCGAGTGCCTGCTGGAAGATGTATTTGAAGGATATGTGTTTGGATTTAGGGGGCTATAGATATTAAGAACATGCAGGCGTGTGACAAGGGATTTGGGAAGGTGGAGTGTGGTGAGTATATGTGGGATCGGTGAGGCGAAAGTTACGTGCTGGGTGGCAATATTGCGATGTACAAGGGTGGCTATCTGGGGGAAATCCGATGGGGAGTGAGATGCATAGTCTTTGAGCTTGGGTGAGTGGTATGTTTCCTGTAGTGCTATGAGGATGGGGGGGTTGGGTATGGATGCAATGTGTGCTTGGAGGTTGGCTCTTTTAGTTCGAAAACCGCGGCAGTTCCATTGCCAGATGTATTGTGTGTTAGAGGTCCGGGTCATTTTCGTGGGTTATAGGTAAGGGTTTGGTAGCTGGGGCGGCAAGGTGCATCCATTGCAGGACTTCTTGATGTAGGGAATGTACCGATTCCTGGATTGCATTGATTTGGGCAGAGGTGTGTTGGCGGTGGTTATCGAAAGCCGTTTCTATTTCGGCGCGTAGGGTGGCTATTTCTGCGTTGCCTGAGGATGTGGGGGGAGGCTCAGTATTGGGGGGCAGTGCCCGTTTCTTATTCGGGGGGCAGGTGGTTAGCTGATCGGGTGACGGGGCTGGAGGGTTGTGGGAGGTTTGGAGTTGCTGTTTAAGGAGACGGTTTTCCGCTTGTAGACGCTAATTGTCTGCGCGAAGGAGGGCGATAGTGTTACGCAGTTGCTGCATTTCCTGGCGCATTTGGCGCATTTCGTTTTGCCATGTGGAGGGCGGGGGTGGGGGTGGGTGAATTGGGGGATTTGGGAGCAGAGCTGCGCGCACCTGGCCCTGAGCGGCTTGGCTGTAGGTGAGTCCGGGTGTGGTGAAGGTCGTGGTGTTGCGGTCAGGTCCGGTCTCGGGGGTGAAGGGGGGTATGTTGGGTAGGGTTTTCGGTATGGTGCGGCGAGGCTGGAAGCGTTTAGGGCATCCCGCTGCACCTGTCAGGTGATCTTGTCCACAGAGGATGCAGCGAGGCTGGCATGGGTGATTTGGTGTGGGGCCCGGTGTACCACAAATTGTACAGTGGGGTTTCGGTGAGGGTTTGGGGCAGACGTCTCGCCTGTGGCCAGCTGACCAACAGGCCATGCATGCTTCGGTTTTCCTCTTGTAGGGGTAGCAACGAAGAATAACCGCACGGTACCGCACCCAGAAGGGTACATGCGGCCCCAAAACGAGGACTTGCACGATGCCCGTGTCTTTGATGCGACGGGCGTCGAGGACTGTTATGGTGGGGTTATGACGCGTGAGGCTTTCCATGATTAGTGGTTCGGAGTCTTCAGCTGGGATCTGGAATATTGCTCCTGGCGTGGTGGTGCTGGGTGGGGGTATGTGGCTTTGGACGGGGTAGTGGGTAGCGTTCCAAGTGATTGCATTGAGGTCCATGTATTGTTGGGCTCTGCGTTCATCGGGGGTACTTACTACGATGAAGTTTGAACGGGTGTTTATGCGTACTTGGTCTTGAGCAAAGTCTGTTATCTTGGCTTGGTGGAAGATGCAGTCGGCTAGCTGGGCTGCATTAGTTGTGCTGAGGTCCAGACCGCCCTGAGGACGAATGACAACCTTGAAGTCATCAGGGGGGAGCGGGTCTTCTGGGGGGGTGGTAGGTTTCTTGCGATGTTGTCGGCGTTTTTGTTGGGGCTTGGTGGGTTCAGCAGCGGGTGTGGTGGTGGCTGAAGTAGCGGTTGTTGCTGCGATGCGGGAGCGAATTGTCTTCCATCCAGGTTCACGTAGGATGTCGGGATCAATTTCGTCCCCTTCAACCGTGTATTCGACACGCGTTGGCGTGATTAGAATGGCGGTGTTAGTCGGAGAAGTTGGGAGCTGCTGCGGCGGCGAGTTAGTGGTAGGCGGCGGCGGAGAGTTTGAAGTTCCCGCGTCGGCATCTGGTTGGGAGGCGCTCATGTCGGTGCGTTGAGTGGAGTGAACCGCACGTGCGCACGTGGTTGCTGCCTCTGTCGCTAAGGGCTGACGTCAAGCCGGCGGCCGCCTCGCCAAGCGAAGGCGACGTTAGGCTTAGCGAAGAGTGCCGGCGTGGCTGGTCATAATTCGGTGGTGATTCACGTACCCGGTATCGATGGGCGAAGTTGTTGGCACCGATGTGGTCCTGGTGACGTTAGGAACACTTTGGTATCAATTCGACTGGTGTGGTTGCGATGATACAAAGCTATAACCAGGTGGAAGCGGAGCCCATGCGGAGCACGTCCAGCCGGGGCGCGAATCTTTTCTCTCTCCGACAGACGCAGGAAAGGTAAAGCAGCCATCGCTTTGACTAGCAGACGTAAATCAGACGACGTTAACTGCGCCAACCCGCCGACGCCGTTAAAGAATGAAGGGCCTCGCCGCACACGAAAGGAGGAAAAACGTATTTGGGAGGGAACTTGCGGGCACCAACACGCTCACTCTCGGTTCTTAGCAAACAAACCTCGGCGCCTCGGGACACCTCGCCAGTGAGTCCTTTGACTTCCCTCCTTGATGCGCGTCTGCTAGTTGTTAGACAAAAACAACGTACCGCTCGAGCTATTTTGTCTGCCCTCTCTGAAAGGCGAAGTCGAGCTCGCTCGTAAAGACCTGCACTTCCGAAAGTCGCAGGAAAGGTAAGACAGACGCAGACGATGTTGCGAGCAGACGACGTTGCAAAGGAGCAGACGACGCTCAGATAGGGGGTCGCGATCAGCCAATCAGGG